ATGATTTAAACAAGCAAATGCTCAGCATTCAAACTACAGGTGAACAATAGTCAAAGGTTTCCCCCGTTATATACTGTGTGTGTGTGTATATATATATATATATATATATCTCAGCTAGTCAAGTACAGACCTACACGGCATGTCAACAAACCGTGAAAAAAAGCCACAGAAAAAAATAAATGAATGATTGCTGGTTAACAAAGGTTATGTTGTGACTTACCTTCAAAATTACAAGTAAACAAATACTGAGAAATATAACCTTTTAATCTTTTCTCTCTTTTCCTCTGAGGCGCGGGGGGAAAATATCGACAAGTCGATGTACATCATCTACAGATATATTCAGTAAATGCCCAAGACATGTTGTGAAATGTAAATCGCCGCTTGATTCATCCATTTGGTTGACTTGTTTTGGAAAACCAAACAAGGAGCGAATATCACACTGGAAACAAGGCGCTATACAGGAGTTTCCCCAACGAAAGTAGCGTATGCTAAGGTGCACAGAGTCTATCTCACCCCTTTTCTTCAATTTGATGTTGCTAGGTTAGAGTTGGAGAACTGTCTTGCAGCACTAGAACAGCAGAGGGCGCTGCATGATGCCTCAGATCAAGCCCAGAAGGAGGAGTGGGAGGAGCGACTCCGCAGCACCCAGCAGGGTGAAGAGACAGCACGCAGAGAGCTGCAAAACCTGAGGTCAGGTTTGTGCTGCAAGACAACCACAGTTACATTAGTAAGAGCGCAAAACTGGGGCATGAGGAGTAGCTGTATGATATCTGAAACTTGCATAAAAGTAGAACTGGGGTTGTGACATGTTGAACTTTCTATGATTGATCTTGATTTTCTTTTTATCATCTTTCACTTTCTATTCCTATTTTGTGGTCAGCTACTAAAATATGTGTCAGGCGTAGAACCTGGAGACTTTTTTCTTGCTTTTTTTAAATGTTGTTTTTGTCTGATACCTTTTTTATTTTATCTCATAGGACTAAGGTACAGCAGCAGAGCTCACAGCTTGAGGAGCTGGAGAGGCAGAAAGCAGAAATTGCTGATCTGCATCAAGTAAGACACAACCAACCAACCATAAAGTCTTATTTGGACACTAAACAAACAAAAAAACCCAAAACAAACAGTGGTAGTTTTTATGCCTGCAGTAATAATTACTGTTTGTTTGACACAACAGCAAAACCAGGAACTTGGTGTGCAGATGGAGGCGCTGTCTCACTCTGAAAGTGACATGATGGAGACGAACCGACGACTGAGAGAAACACTGGACAGAGTGAGGGAGGAGCTGAGGACAGCCCGGGCACAGGCAGAGAGGAGCCAGCACGAGGCAGAGAGGTACACCCGCACAGTTGCCCAGTCTAACACAGGGATGTCAAGCTCATTTTACATGGTAGGCCACATATAGCCCACTTTGAAGAGGACCGACCAGTGAAACACCCCGTTCTGTCAGTGTAAAGAATTCTTTACTACACATTTGATCCCTGAGGTAGTTTGTTATAATGTATGCAACAATACATTTCAGTTTTTCTACACGATAAAGAAAAGTCTTACAGTGCGACTATCTGCTCTCAAATTGTAAGAAAGAACTAAGACGACTAATGGGAGTCTTTGGCGGGCTTAGTGTGGCTCCCAGACCTTATGTTTGACAACCCTTGTTTAACATGTACTCACTCTCATATGGCACTTTTCAAGTCTGAGTGACCACTCAAAACATTTTAACACGAATTTAGTGGCTTTTTGCTCCTTTCACATCCTCTTTCTGTCTGTTCCTTCCGCAGGTTGGTGGAGGAGCGTCGTATCGAGTGGTTGGAGGAGAAGCACAAGCTGCAGGAGCGAGAGGCTGAGCTGCAGCAGAAATATTCTCAGGTCAAAGACAAACTGCATAGGGCAGCGGTGGCTCAAAAGAAGGTACCGCTTCTTCATTCCCTGCCTTTTACGGCACACCCTGGCAAAAACAGTAAAATCACCACATGTGGATTATAATCATTCAAGCTTTTTCCTAATCTTGAGACTGACAACACATCACAGATATGACACATTTTTTTTGTTTATCAGCTGAAAATTCTGGCTTTATAAATTATTCAAAAAGTAAAAAAAAAAAAATTAATTTATGCTCCATTTTTTTCCCCCCTATCAAGTGAAGCACAAATTGATGTAATTGTCTTTTAATTTTCAGTACTAAAACTGAATAAGCAACACAGTCTACAGTTAACAGAGTTTGCAGTTTTTAACAGGCTTCTGCACCTGGCTGTGTTAAAGGAAGCACGGGCCGAGCTAGAAAACTGTCTGTCGTAACATGAAAAATGCTCATATAGTTCCTGCAAGAAGGTAATCGGTTGGCTGTTCAGTCTGCTGTGTCTGAAATTTCGAGCATGTGTCAGCAAAACTATAAGGAAGGAAAACTTTTAGTTAACTGGTAGATGTCAAAGCATCAGAACAGAAAAGTGAAAGAAGTGTGCCTTTTGGAAACAGAAAATATGCAACAAAAGAAGTGAAAAACAAATGTGAAAAAAAGGGAATTGATGTTTGTGATTTGATTAAAAAAGAAAAAAAGCTGAATTACGTGATGTAATTCATGGATGACTGGACGAAAGCAGTGAATCTGTGTTAGCCAAGGAGGTGAGGCTGATGAAACTTTTTTCCCCCCCCAGTGTTATTCAGATGAAACTTGTAAACCACATTTCCCCACTCATGTACTATATAAGTAACCATTACCTCAGCAGTAAATGTACTGCTGAGGGTTTTTGTCATTTAACAGATAGGAAGTAGGTTTGCTGCACAAGTTGTATTGATGCATGAACAGTTGTAAAGCTTCTGTTGATGCAGGCAGACCAACTTAATCCAATAGAAAAAATATGCCTGAAGTTAGGAAAGAAAAAAAATCATTATTCCATTTTTTTGTATCTGTGTTCTTTAAAACAAAAGGAAAAACACAAAAATCTGTCATTAATGCACATGCAACCCCTGGTGATTTCCAGGGGTTGCATGTGCATAGGTCCATATGCTTTTAACTGTTTTTTTGTTTTTTTCAGACATTTCTTTGTGCTGTTTTTCAGTCATAAATAAACATTTTTAACACGCATGTTCACAAGAAGACTTGAGGACCTTTTAATGTTTGTTTGCACTTGAACATTGTTAGGAGTTTTAACAGAGAAAGCAGCTAATCTATCTGTGTCTGTCTGTGTCTGTGTGTGTTTAGAGAAAAACGCTGACAGAGAACAAAGAGAAGAAACTGCAGGATAAAATCCAGTTGCTGGAGGCCAAGATTGAGGAGCTGGAACTGGAAGCTGCTGCAGTTAAAAAGTAAATGTGATCGCCTTTTTTAAAAACTGTGCAGCCTGGAGAGTGTAACTCGGGTTGCTTTGTTTTTATTTTTGACAAGATGATTTCTGTAACAGTGGCGCTATTAGATTGGAGGAGCAGTTTTCAATAAAACTACAAACACAAAAAGCCAGTGTATAACACCAGAGGAGTCACTTGACAACTTAGCTTTTAGCCAAAACCGCATTTGCTCAGTTCGCCAGCAATGCATCTGCCGAATTTGAAGTCGGATGGCTCAGTGTTTGCCAATTTGGAGAAGAACACAGAATCATTTCAGATTTCTTATTAGTGCAAGATGATGTGTTCAAATCAACTTTTGAGACACCGCACTCTACTGTTTCATTAGGAAATGGCTCACAATATGGATTTTTTTTACTTTTTGGCCTTGAATGATGAAGCCACACTGACTTTACGGGGGCTTGATGTCAGTATGCTCTTTTCTCTCGTGTGCAGGCGTTCATTGTTCTCACAGGAGCAAGCTCAAGTGAACAAACGGCTGAAGGAGCTGCAGAGGCGTCACAATGAGTTTCGGCGCCTCCTGCTTGGCGGTCAGGGCCCCTTCAGTGCAGGCCCTGCGTTCCTGACCTCTTCACAGGCCCCCTTCGTCTTCCTCGGGTCTGAGGGACAGTTTGGTAACAACCCAGTAAGTGTCTTGTACACTTCATCTCTTTGGTTAGATTCCTTTTTTTGCTTGAATGATTCAAAGCTCAGTATTAAACGGCTTAACCAACATTTCTTTGAAAGTTTGAAAGAGCTTCAGAAGGCCTGTGGAACTGTTGCTGTGGCTTCAGACTGTTGCCCAGTACTACGGATTATTATAATGGCCTGTTTATCCGCTCTTTCTGAGGCAGCTGTGGCTCGGGAGGTTGTCCGTGTCCACTATAGGTATATAAGGGTTGATGAACATATATGTGATTGGATGAAAAGTGCAATGAGTGGTCAGAATAGTAAAGCACTATGTCAATTTACACTGACAGGCCATAGAGAGTGCACTGGCAGGCTACTAACACATTGTGATGAGAACGCTCATATTAACTCGACTTTATGCTTTTCTGGCTCATGGTGGATTTTAGGATTCACTTTAAAACTGCAGACAGAGCACCTAATGAAGAGTCTAGTGCTTGTTCTCCTGAAACACACTGCTGCTTGCACTCTGCGATCACACAGGATCGGAATTGTTGGCGCTTCAGCTGTGTTCAGTTGACTCTATGTTGCAGAGTTCATTTAGTAGTCTCTATAATGTTATAACTTCTCCTTGCATCTCTTTCTTTGCCTCCCCGCATCCTTTTCTCCTCTCAGGAGGATCATGGTTCTCAATTCTCTCTGTTGCGTCAGAGGCTGGAGAATCTGGAAAGTGCCCAGCAGCAGCAGTTGGAGGAACTGGGCTCTCTGGTACAAAGAGATCGGAGCACCACACCCCAGCCTGAACTCTGACACTGTTTCTACTTCCCATGGGGCTTCAAGTACGAGCACAGTTTGAGATGACATCCTGCTTTCAAATCAAGCGGACTGTGTTTGTATAAAAATAAAACATTTATTGGAAGAATTCCACATTTTATATGTCTAAAATGTGATACCTTGGCACTTTTTCACATGATATCCTCAGGGCTGGATTTTGTAATAAGAAACTTGTTTACATTTGTTATAAAGCCATTGTGTTGGGGGAAAAAATACAGAGGAGTCATACAGATGACACTACGGACTACGTTGCACAATGATGATACAGACTTGAACTGTATTAAAATATTTGTACATTAACCTTGTGCCTGACATGTCTTTGGCTGGAATCATTGTGCATTTGGGTTCATGAGTTTTAACAACAATTATTCCGCTGGTGAAGAAAGTGAAAGTCCATCAGATACAAAAAGCTTTCGGTAAACGAAACATCCTCTGTGAGGTTCACTCCCTTGCTTGATATTCACGGCTTATTCCTATTAGAGAAAAGACAGATGGTTCAACTCCAGGAGCAGCTTTTCAGTCCATCAAATGATTGCTTTACATGTTGTAGCTGCTCCTTCAGCTCAGCAGGGACTCCGTTCTCGTCCAGTTTCTGCTTGATCTGTAAAAAAGCCAGACGAAAGGGGACAAAGACACCTTAGAAAATGCAGTGTTTAAAGTGTCATTTAAACCTCAGTATAAAAAGCTGGTGTACAAAAAACTTGTCTTAATAAGCCTTTAACTGTAAAATATTTCAGGGCACAAAATTAGGAACAATTTAGCTTGTTAGTCCCGTGCCTCTGGAATGTTTTTTCAAGAAGGCTTTGAGGTCTCTTAAAATGGCCTGAAGCTTTAACAGTAAACAAAATCTGTTTTTAAAAAGTGCTACTCTGCACCCGAGAACAGGAAATAACCCGATAAAGTCAGGCCTGAACACATTTCCTCTGCAGGTGCAGCCTCGTGTGTCACAAGGTTTCACAAGTGAAGTCACCAATGTCAACATCTTAGTCCAAGGGAAAGCAAATAAGATGTGAGTTATGGAGGACCGGTTCAGTTATTTCTAACATTTTGCAGTGATCAGAGTATTTTGATAACATATTGCCATTTATCTCCCCCCCCCCCTTTTTTATTTTATTTAATTTTTTAATTTAAGCCGTGACCAATTTTTGTTGTAACCACTGTTTTCTGTAGTGTGACCCTAGCCTTAGTGGGAACTGTGCTCCCATCTAGCTCTGTGCAGTTTGATTGACATTTGCCAGAGAACACCAGAACGGCCACTGGTTCCCCTCTGACTGATGGGGCAAATGGCAAACCTACGCTGTGAAGCTACCAATAGTGACACAAGCAAAAAGCAGAACTAGAGAAAAATCAGTCAGGAGGGATAAGAAGAGAGAAACGGTCAGAGGCCACCACCTAGAAAACTCTTCCTTTTGAGCGGTCGGGTTGCATCACAAGTACACCTCACTTTCATTTACACGAAAGCTGGTAAAATAGATATACAGTTGTTTATATCGCTGGAGTTTAACTGGGTTATATAGTGATAACCGAGTGTTCCCTTCATTTTTCTGACCAATGAATATCATAATCTCCTCTCCTCCTTCTATTCTTTATAAATGTGAGAAGAGTTTGGGTTTTCTCATCTGTCTGTATGTACCACTGATTTGTTGACTCCAGTCTAGTGATTTGATTTGTATCCACCGAGCACTCATCTGGGTTGTGTTTCCTCGAAATTAAGTGTGGTTCATGTCTGTTGTTTTCTTTTTGAAGGACATAGACTTCTCAACCAAGGCCAAACTGAAATGTGTTACTCTTAATCTGTTCACCTCATAAAACTGGCAGTTGAAGCTGTTTTAGAGATGGAAAAGAAAAGAACTGACCTCTGTGAAGTATCGCTCTATGAATTTGTAGAGTTCTTTGAGCGCTGCTGCTTCATTGAATTCATTTTCGTGTTTCTGAAAAGAAAACAGCTTTTAGTTCACTGCTGGGATTTCCAAAACCCTTGATTTTCCTGCATCAGCGCTAAATGGATTCACCTTTGACTCTTCATGCAGGAAATCCTTGAATTCTGCGGGCGTGACTGGTGACTGGTCTCTTATCTGTTTGTAGTACATCTTCACTTCCTGTTTAAACTTGGGAATGTCTTTGGCATAGAGGAGCTTGTTGGTAGGCGCGTACTGAAATGGAGCAAAAATCAAGCATTATATGTGGCAAGATGCAAAACTCAAATAATAAACTGCAGATGTGTGACTGCTTTCTCCATAACGAAATGAAACCCACCCTTTTGTTTAGCAATAGTAATTAGGGATAAGATCGGCGCTGTACTTACCTTCCCCAGCTGCATCTCACTCAGAGAAAAGGAGTCCATGAAGGCCTGAGCAATGACGGACAGGCAGCCGTCCATATGTGGCGTCTTCTCCATGTCAAAAACAAACTGAGGGTTTTTCAGAATGTTGATCCAGAAGCGCAGCGGCAAACTGGTGATAAGGACATGAGAACATGAAACATCTTAAGACATTTGCTTATGGCCAGTGCTCTTTGATGTTTATATTTCGTGTACCTGTTGGTCTTCCAGATGTGCAGGACATCTGGGTCAGTGATCTTCATGTTTTCCGCCTGAGTGTCCAAGAAGTCAAAGAAGTACTTGACAGCGAACGGAGATCTGCTGAGTGTCAGGCCCCAGATGGACCTGAAGAGTTTCTCCACAAATGAATGCACTGCCACCTAAGAGAGAGAATGTAGTGTCATTCTCAGCTTCTTCACAAGAAGCATGCAATGAGCTGGTTTCTGTTCATTCATCTCAGTTAGTTTTACTACATTTTAAGATAGAAAACCAATTTGATAAAGTTCCTCCTAGAGTCAGGAAACCTGTGTCCGAGGGTATAATGACAAGAAGAGGCGATTCTGCTCTCTGTTAGAAAGACTGCATATTTACTATGAGGTGACAGGTATTTGGCTGCAGCCAGTAATCAACCCGCTGAACACATTTTAAAATCATATCATTCAGGTCTTATCTGGGAATTTTCAGAGAGAGTAAATAACCTTTATCAGTATTAATCTCATTTTTTTTGTTGTTTTTTTATTTTTTGTTTTTTGGGGTATGGTTCCCAAATACACTGCTTGCAAAAAAGATCAAAGGTACACTTTTTAAAACAGTGTACTCTCTGACCACTGGCATGTCCCCCATTTCATCTTTCCTAGTTTTTTCACTAGTTTTGGCTAGTGTCACTGTTACTACTGGCACCATGAAGCGATACCTGGACCCTACAGAGGTTGCACAGGTAGTCCAGCTCCTCCAGGATGGAACATCAATACGTGCCATTGCCTGAAAGTTTGCAGTGTCTCCCAGCTCCCAGCACAGTTTCAAGAAAGTAGAGGAGATTACTTTTTCTTTTGTTTTTTTTGTTTTTGCCTGTCCCGTTTGGCTCTTTTGCTTTCAGAATTATTGTCTAAAGGCGAAGAAAGATGCCCAACGGATTTACTTTACCAAATAGACCATCCCAGCCTTACCATAATGGTCTATTTGATATACCTTTTATTGTTTATTTTGTTTTATTTTCACTTGCTAAATATGGGACAGATTTGACTGGGGAAAAGAAAGGGGAGAAAGAAAGAGGGAAAGAAAAACTGCAGGGAAGAGGGACGGGCATAAAGGGCAAAAAACAAAAACCAACAAAATAAGCAGACAAAAAATACAAATATCAATCATCTGGATCACCTGTTAAAAAAGAAAAAAGAGAAAACAAGCAGAAGAAAAAAAAGAGCAACATAATAAACAACATCACGATGATATATGGGAATATAACAGTAAATACTAAATATTAAACATTATTGTGCAGCATGTAATAATGACAGCGCACAGTGTGCTTTGAGGTAGGAGCCAAAAAGGGTGTAGTTTGTGGGTGTGATCACCCTTGTGTACACCTGTGAGCATGGACGCGCTTGTTTTTTTAAAAGGTTCCTTCATGTAATGATCTGTTAGAGGGTGTGGGGGGGCCATAGCCCCGTCCTCCAGGGCATGAAGCAGGAGGCTGAGAGGCTGAGGGAACCCCACCCCCGAAGTGGCCCGAGCGAGCCCCAGGCTCCAGGCCCCGACAAGCAGCCACCAAGGAGTGAGCCGGTGTGTACCTGGGTGCCCATCCCCAGACACAAAGAACCACCAACGCACCGATGTCTGAGGGCATCTGCCAATGGCAGGGGAAGTGGTGGGGGAGATAGACCTCCATACCTTGGAGGGCCTGAGATGTCCCTAGAGAGGTGGCATCTGATACCCAACCTGACATATAGACACAGACTTCTTACAGGCATCCATTCCCACCCTCATGCTCTCATATGCAATTACTCAACACTCACCCAACGTGGAGACAGACACAAAGAGACACTATACACACACAATCACACTCCCCAAGCCCTAAGCCCCAGGTCTAGCTAGAGGAGATTCCTGGAGACGGACAGTTACTCTAGGAGAGCTGGACAGGGCCATAGAAGGTTCTAATCGAACAGACTTCAGGGCCTTATATCCTCTAGTCGGCCCTGTGCTCACTACTCCTCACCCTAGTGCCCGAGTGCCATTTGCTAAAGAGTACCACCACTGGCACCCTGTGCTTTTCACAGATGAGAGCAGGTTCACTCTGAGCACATTTGACAGACATGAGAGAATCTGGAGAAACCGTGAAGAACGTTATGCTGCCCGTAACATTGTTCAGTATGACCAGTTTGGTTGTGGGTCATTGATGGCCTGGGGTGGTATTTCCATAAGGGACATGGAGACCTCTACAGGTTATCCAGCAGGACCCTGACTGCCATTAGGTACTGAGAAGAAATCCTTGGAGTCACTGTCAACCAATGCTGGTGAAGTGGGTCCTGGGTTCCTCCTGGTACAAGACAATGCCTGGCCTGTGGGGAGAGTATGTCGGTAGTTCCTAGAGCAGGGGTGTCCAACCCCAGGCCTCAAAGGCCAGTGTCATGCAGGTTTTAGATCTCACCCTGGGTCAGCACACCTGAATCAAATGATTAGTTCATTACCAGGCCTCTGGAGAACTTCAACACATGTTCAGAAGGTAATTTATCCATTTAAATCAGCTGTGTTGAATCAAGGACACATCTAAAACCTGCAGGGATTTAGGCCTTTGAGTCCTGGAGTTGAACACCCCTGTCCTAGAGGAAGAAGGAATTGATACCATTGACTACCTCCCCATGCTTATTTGACCTAAACCCAATAGTTTACCACCAGGTTGCACCTCAGACCTCAGGAGATCCCACAGGACACCACTGATCATCTAATCAGGAGCATGTTGTCAGTCATGCATGTGGGGGCTGTGCAAACTACAGAGTACCATTTAGAGATGCTCCAAGTAAATTCTGTGTTTGGGCTTTTGAACATCCAAATGAAAAGTCCACAAACATGACTGTCAGATCTCCCAGAAGAAATAAGTAGGTGAGAAAACAACCCTCCTTCGAAGAAAGGTTGTTTGTTTGATTTTTCAAGCTTTTTAAATGAGTTCTTCAAATCTGCACATCTCATGGTAGTTAGAGACTTTGGACGTTTGGTTTTGGCACAAGCAAGTTTTGCTAGTCTCCTGTTTAGTTTGTGTTTCATTTGTGTACCTTCTCTCATCAGAACCATTTTTCCTGACAGTTAAAAGGGAAGGTTACTAAAAGTAGCCAGGTTAACCATGTAACCATGTGTCACATGGTTATGAGTAACCTTGTGAGAGAGATTCTGGTATCAGTTCTGTATTAGTGGCTGTTTGTGTAAGCATACTGTAGCGCTGTAACTAGTTTCTCTTGCCTTGGTAGAGAGCAGCTTGGTGAGGTGTACTTCCTTTAGCTTTAACTTCTTCCTCTCTGGGTTCTTTGTTTGATCTTCATCTACATCAGGATCGATCTGGATGAAGACACCAGCCGACAGATTAGACAACATGTGTTCTATAATCTGAATCCAAGCATTAGTGATCCAAATTATTATTTTTTATGAATCAGTATTGCAAAAAATAACACAAGTTGTCTCTTACCAAATGGAAGTATTTTCCCGAGAAATTCTCGTCATCTAGATGAAAAAATATAAATATCAGAGAGCGATCAACAGCAATTATTTAGTCATTTTATTTAGTCATATATGTGTGTATATATATATACATATATGACTAATACATACAAATTTTATGGATTTAATTAAATGCTCTTGTTTGAAATATGAAGACATATGTGGAATTCTTAGTTTGATGCATTCAGTATTTCTTACCTTTCACACTTCCTTGTGGGCTCAGAGGAGGATGAGTTTTCTTAGAGAGCACTTTGATTGTCCCGCCATCATTAGCCTACAGGAAGACAAACTGGTTCATTTTTATACAGTATTTTTTCTAAAATTTAAATGGAACAACTGCTATGGAATAAGAAGCCTTGCATTTTGTATATTTTGGGGTCTTTACCCCACAATATAAATGATCTTTACAAGATTGTTTTGCATTATATAAACAAAATGGAATTTCTAAAACTGCCCTGCAGAGGTCATAGAATCTGTGTTTAATGTGTTTTCAGTTTTTATTTTCTTCATTACCTGCGTGCAAAACCACAACCACCCACCAGATATCTGGGTCTGTACTGGTTGCTTGTTACCCCACACTTGAAAATTCTTTCTTTCTTTCTTTCTTTCTTTCTTTCTTTCTTTCTTTCTTTCTTTCTTTCTTTCTTTCTTTGTTTTTCTTTCTTTCTTTCTTTCTTTCTTTCTTCATTATATGTGTGAGAGAGTTATTTAAGTTGTATTATTGCTTTGTAAATTGTCCAGCACCAGACTCCAAATCCAGCTTCTGCATCAATCTCTCTTTCCACACAGTGATGGTACTGATAATTGATAGAGACGTCACACAAACAGACTCCATGATCCATTAAAAACATTATGAAGCCATCAAAAACCACTCTTCCTCTGCTAGACTTCTTCCGTTTATGTTAAAAAACCCTCTACTGATCTTATTAGCTGTAATGAGAAAGTGAGATAGAATTTCCCATTTCCTTTGTTTCTCTGCCTCTCTTGGCTCAAATTAAGCTCGTCTTTTCTGGTGTTGTCAAAATAAAAGTCCAACTTAACAGCAAATGTAAATGGAAGGTTAGTAAATTTGGGATAAAGCCTCAAAACAAGAGAGTGCCAGGTTTCAGCACAGAAGCAGTGGCACTGAAATCTTCATCTACCCCCCCCTCCCCCCCCCAAAAAACAAAACAAAAAAACAAACAAACAGCACCTGTGATGAGTTTTCAGTACCAGTGTGTGCAGCCCTATAGCCACTTCCTGTATGATGTTAAAAATTATGTCCAAATATGAAATATATTGCAATGATAGTTATAATTATATAATATGACATTATATTATTATTATTATTATTATTATATAATTATATTATAATAATTATTCCAATTATAATTGGAATAATTATTATACTATAGTTATATAATGGACATCGACATCATGTGCAGACTCTCTGATTTGATTTGAGGGTCCACTTTCAAATTGGATGAAGAGTTTAGGAGTTTCAGCTAATTAACACGTGCCACCCTCTTTTTAAAAGGATCAAAAGTAATTGGACAAATGATTCAAAGCCTATTTCGTGGGCAGATGTGGGCAATTCCTTCATCATGTCATTATAAATTAAGCAGATAAAAGGACTGGAGTTGATTTGAGGAGTGGTGTTTGCATTTGGAAGATTTTGTTGTGAACAGACAACGTGTGGTCAAAGGAGCTCTAGATGCAGGTGACACAAGCCATCTTTAAAATGAAAGTAAATACAGATGGTTCACTGCAAGGTGCAAGGCACTCATAAGCCTCAAGAAGAGAAAGAATAAATTGGACTTTGCTAAAAAAAAACAACAAAAAACAAACAAACATCTAAAAAAGCCAGCACAGGTCTGAAAAAACATTCTTTAGACAGATGAAACCAAGATCAACCTCAACCAGAATCATAGCAAGAAAATGTATGGAGAAGGCGTGGAGCAGCTCATGATTCAAGCATACCACATCATCTGTAAAACATGGCGGAGGCAGCGGGATGGTTTGAGTGTGCATGGCTGCCAGTGGGACTGGGACACCAGTGTTTATTGATGATCTGACGCAGGACAGAAGCAGCTGAATGAATTCTGAGGTGTTCAGTGACATACTGTCTGCTCAAATCCAGCTAAATGCAGTCATATTGAGGGTGTTTCATAATACAGATGGACAATGACCCAAAACGTACAGCCAAAGCAACCCAAAAGTCAGGGTTGGTTAAGTTACTTGAAAAAAGTAATTAGTAACTAATTACTGATTACTTCTCCCCAAAAGTAATCCCGTTACTTTACTGATTACTTATTCCATCCATCCTCTTCCGCTTTATCCAGGGCCGGGTCGTGGGGGCAGCAGCCTAAGCAGAGAAGCCCAGACCTCCCTCTCCCCAGCCACCTCCTCCAGCTTATCCGGGGAACACCAAGGCGTTCCAGGCCAGCCGAGAGATATAATCTCTCCAGCGTGTCCTGGGTCTGCCCCGGGGCCTCCTCCCGGTGGGACATGCCCGGAACACCTCACCCAGGAGGCGCCCAGGGGCATCCTTGTCAGATGCCCGAACCACCTCAGCTGGCTCCTTTCGATGTGGAGGAAGCAGCGGCTCTACTCTGAGCCCCTCCCGGATCAAACGAGAATTTTTTTTTTTTTTTTTTTTTTTTTTTTGTGTCCCGTTTGGATCTTTAGCCATCAGAATTGTTGTCTTAAGGCCAAGAAAGATGCCAAGCGGATTTATTTTACCAAGTGGATCATCATGGCCTTGCCATATTGGTCCATTTGATTGACCTTTATTATAATTATGAATTTATTTTATTTTCAGTTGCTACAAACGAGGACAGACATGACTGGGGGATAGGACAGGGAGAAAGAATGAAAGAAAGAGAGGGAGAGAAAGAAAACCAAAGGGGAGAAGAGATGGTGAGAAAGGGGGAAGAAAGAAAAACAAACAAAACACCTGTATGGAGAAAAAAAAACAGAAGAGAAAGCAAACAACAAAGAGAAACATAATAAAAAACAGCACCATCACAATAAACTAGCTAGCAGTAGATAGCAGTAGATACTAAATATTAAACGATATTGTGCAGCACGCAAGATAGACAGCGCACAATGTGCTTTGAGGCAGCAGCCAAGAAAGGTGTAGTCCGCGTCTGTGAACACCTGTGTGTACACCTGTGTGTACACCTGTGTGGATCAGCATGCTTGTATTCCAAAGGTTTCTCCATGTAACGATCTGCTAGGGAGTGTGGGGAGCCACAGCCCCGTCCCCAGGGTATGAAGCAGGTATGGAGGAGATCCAGGCCCCAGATATCCAGAGGCCCCAGAGTACAAGGACCCGAGGAGGACCACCAAAAGGGGGGGAACCGTGCCACCCTCCTGGGAAGAGCTGAGTAGAGCCCCAAACGAGAGGTCACCCACGCAGCTACGGAGCAGAGGCCAGAGGGGGTTGCAGTGGCGTGCCCGCGGGCTCTGCCGGCAGCCAGCTGTGCCAGAGAGGACCGAGCTTCAGGCCCAGAGGCCAGAGGCCTGAGGGCATCCCACCCCCCGGAAGGAGCCCAGCCGGGCCACAGGCGCCCGGCCCCGCCAATTGGCCACCAGGAGTGAGCCGGTACATACATGAGCGCCCAGCCCCAGACGACAAGGACCACCAACACACCAACGTCTGAGGGCATCAGCCACCGGCAGGGAGTGTGGTGAGGGGAGATAGGCCTCCGTACTTTAGAGGGCCTGAGATGTTACCCAGAGAGGTTGAGTCTAAGACCCAAGCCTGACATACAGACAAGACGTAACAGGATACTTAGCGGGTGCAGACTGCATTACACAAAATTCACGGTTCGGTTCGATACTTTGGTGTCACGGTTCGATATTTTTTCGATACAAAAAATGTTCATGCCTTTTTAATTTGTCATTTATTAAAATTATAAATATATATTTTAACTCAAAAGTACAGTTTTTAAATTTAATGTTGCTGAAACAACAAAATAAAAAAAATCTATCTGATCGAGAAATCACTCATCTTTGGAAAAGAGAGTTTATTACAGAGAAATGGCTCTTTCCAAAATAAAAGCTATACTATACGCTTCTTCTGGGCTATATTCTCAGCAGCATATTAAACATATCAGGTCCCCATAAGGAGAATCATGTGCTAACGGCTGTCTAAATGACTCGGGTAAAGTTTGTAGCATGCGTGCTTGTTGTTTTTGTCTGCTTCCACTTGTCTTTGCACTAGGATGATGTGGAGTAAATGTGCAGTCATATTCGTTGTGTTCAATGCCTGTATTTATATAGCGCTTTACTAGTCCCTAAGGACCCCAAAGCGCTTTACATATCCAGTCATCCACCCATTACACACACATTCACACACTGGTGATGGCAAGCTACATTGTAGCCACAGCGACCCTGGGGCGCACTGACAGAGGCGAGGCTGCCGGACACTCAGGGTCGCCCACCGGGCCCTCTGCAGGCCTCTGACCACCACCAGTAGGCAGCGGGTGAAGTGTCTTGCCCAAGGACACAACAGCCGAGACTGTGGGCCGGGGCTCGAACCGGCAACCTTCCGATTACAAGGCGAACTTTTTTCGGGCGTTGTGTTCCCACTAGTGCTGTCAGCGTTAATCTTGTTAAAATGACATTAACGCCATAACGCGGCAAATCTCCGTTAAGAATTTACTGCGGATCGCCCCGTGCGTGGGGCTGGACAGCGTCAACACGTTAACAAGCTAACTGCATTAACGCACTTGTTCCCACAAATTGAGCATTGCGTGGCACATCCGACATACGCACTTACCATCAGGGTCATATGCTTCACAGGTAGGTAGGTAGGTAGGTAGGTAGGTAGGTAGGTAGGTAGATAGATAGATAGAGATACATAATATTTCCTCACCTTGTAGTGTTTGAGAGTGTTGAGCATTGTCACCTCCCCAATAACCACTGAGCTTGCATCAACTTCCTCAAGAGGAAGGAATAATCCATTCTTCTCATACTCTGGTGGGAATAGTAACAGAAGGTGTTGATAGTTTGTAAAACAAGGAACAGTGACAACATAAGCAGTAAATATTATAATCTAACTGTTCATTTTGATGCAAAAGCATAAAAACAAAAGGTCAAACCATCTTCAACAGTGCAACATGCTTAAGATGTAAGCTACATTTATTCTATAGCTTTTTGTCAGCAGCTTTTCCGCTTTGTCTGCAGCTCTTAAGCCCTAAATTTGGACATAATATGCAGATTTTTAATGTACGTTACAAATATACAGGGCAAGTAAAAAAGATTCAGTAAATAAAGGAATCTCTGTATGTGTATCTGTTCCTTGCCTCTTTATACCACTTCAAACCTGGTTGGTGGATGCAAATCACTTATCACTTAAGACATGCTAAAGACATGCTATTATCACTTCTTGCAGGATCTGATACCTACCTATGCAGACATCCCTCAGGGGAATGTTGTAGGGGAAACCAAACTTGGCCTTGAAGCTGGACAGAATTTTCTCTTTGACCTGCTCCACTGTATCACAGTCAAGGACGATGACTTCCAGAGGCTCACTCACCTCCCCGTCAGTGCCCACAGCAAACAGCACTTTGAGCTTCTGTAAGCAGAAAAAATAGTAATCGTTAGCATTTCTGTATTGCCAGATTACCAGCAATATTTCACCATTTAATAAATGGAAAGGTGGGAATTTAACAGGAAAGTGAGACAGGCAAAGGGCAAACACACAGTAAAGGGCCCTAGGTTCGACTAGAACCCATTGAACTTTGTATAGTTGCCATTTCAAACCAATGAGCTAAACTGATGCCCATATGGAGTTGATTCTAAGTGTTGCAACTGATAACTATTCAGTCAAACATCTATATGATTTCCAAAGAGATGTTGATACAAAGTGTGCTAACTTTGACACATCTAAGCAAGTCAACAATCAAGAGATGCTCTCATGAATGGAAATACAGAGGGTTTACAGCAAGGTGCAAATCACTGGTTACACTCAAGGACAACCTCAAGCCAAAGCACACCACATCTGTCAAAAATGGTGGAGGTATGTTGTGAGCATGTATGGCTACCAGTGGAACCATATGACCAGTGTTTATCAATAATGTGACTGCTGACAGAAGAAACAGGATGCTACAAAACTGATTAGATCAGCTCCACAGTGCAAATGGATAATCACCCGAAGAATTCAGCAAACGCAACCCAAGAGTTTCTCAAGGCAAAAAAAAAAGAAGTAATGAAATATTCTTTAGTGGCCACAATCTTAACACAACAGATAAACTTTATCTAGTTTTGTGCTCAGAGTAACTCACAAATAAGCAACATTTGGAAGTAATGCCAACAGCATGCACACAACTGAATTCATGCTCATCAACAAATCACAAAAAAATTCCTATTGTGCAAAATTTTGGTAACTGGTTAAGAGTTTAAAAAAAAAAGTTTCAAAGAAAGAAAAGCTGCAATATCTTTAACAGCATCTTTGATTCTTTGCAGAGATAATGAGGAAGGGCTTATCTTTATTCTGATTTCCTTTAAACTGGTGGCTAATGCATGTGTCATCTAATATACAGAAATAAGCTCTAAAGTGAGACAGTGGTTTGTCAGATTAGATTAAAATCTAAGAGTCTGAAGAATGATCCAGCTCTATTATAATGCACTGTCAATAGACTGCAAAATGTACAGAAAATTATCATCCATCAGAATCTCGTCAAAGTAAAAACGTGTGAAGCTACTGCATTTACTTTCGAACATGGGATTAAAAACATGACAGCTGGCAGGTTGTGCTCATGCTTCCCGTTAAAACATTAAAGCCCCTGAAACTTTAAAAAAGATTTGTCACCAAATAACAACCAAAGCTGAGGTTAGGAAAATGCCATCCTTGGGTTTTATTCACTAAATGACTGTATGAAACCACAGCTTCACGAAATCTGGCTCATTTCAAGACTGTGGGTACAACTTCAGATTTGACTCAGATGCAACTTTCTTCAGTACTTCAAGCTAAACAACAGAAACAACAATTCAGTACTGTTCATCTAGAAAAAGTTTACATTGTTTAAGTACAGTTAAGGGCAAACATTCTTATTACGTTTTATGTTATTGCCAAATCAGGCACTGACTCCCTTACATTTAAAATGGTACACGGTAGTACTTAAAAAGTTCCTAAGATGCTGAGTAATTAATCTCAGATGAATGAATCGGGGCGATTAGGTTTTCAGCACCTTGCACAAGGTTATTATAACATGCACACAAGGGGAGCTGTGGTTCTAACCACCAACCAATCAATTAGTAGGCGATGTGCTCTACTGAATGAACCACATGTATTATTTACCTGTCCAGGTTTCCTTTTATAGTCATTATTTTATGCTATGTTAATTTTAAAAACTGAAACATACCTAGTATTTTAATCTGGGTGTTAAACCAGGTGTGAGTTCATTTTACTGCCCATAACAACCAAATTTAAAAAATTAGGTCCAACCAAGCAAGTACTGGTGTCTTCTCTACATTATCAGGTAGGGTGTGTCCCACAAAGCATGTTGTACCAGAATGCGGGTTTATTGGTGTGTTTGATCTATGTTTCGCAGAGATCTTCCACTTCCTAGAATTCAATGTTTTAATCAGAAGTGTAAGTGCATGCTTCCTTAAACGGCACCTCGAGTGTGTTGTTTGGCAATGTGCAACGTCTCATTTGTTAGAGTTGCAGGTTGGGCCTACATTCAGTGGGGAGCTCGTCAAGGGATTATATCTAGTTTCTTGTCACCACAGCAAACATATCACACTTGCGTGCATGCTGAAAGGGTGCTGTTTTTCAGTTTCATGTGGTTCGCAAGTTCACAAGCCTTAAAGAAAATAAAAAAACAAAAGCGGTAGATTTATTAGTGTGATTAACTCGCCCTGTTTTAAGAGTTGTCTCTTGCACAACACCCAAGAAATTTAGAAAGATACCCTGAAAACAAAGTAAAGACATGACAGTGTCCCACGCCATATTAGAAAAGGACACTTGGGGTGTTGATCTAGAACCGCTGTGTGCTGTTGTGCTTTTATTTGCCATCACTTTCCCCAACACATGCACAAGAGAATATTTAAATGACTTCTGGGTTACCGTATGTCAGCAACAAGTTAAAGCAAGGTTTGAACTTGCCAAACTAAGGGAGCAAAAACAGAACTAATATAAGGAAGTATTAAATATTGCTTCCACATGCACAACTGCCAAACTTGTGAAGGGCTGTCAGACGATTGCTTTCATGCACGGTGTGACTCAGTTGTGCATGCACTTTGTTATGCAGAACGTATGAGTGTGTGTTTGTGTACCAGCGAGCTGAAGTCCTGAGCCTGCCAGAGCAGCCAGTCCTCGTTGAGTGTGTACAGCGCTTTCTCTGTGACACAATCCACTGGGCCTTTTGCAATCTGCTGCGTGAGGGCGCTAACCATCAGGAACAGGTGCTGGCCAACAGTTTCCTGTGGAAAATCAGAAACAGTAACTCAGTCTGTCAAGAGAGAAGCTGAGGCAACGTTATAAAGAAACTTTTGTTGGTCAGTGCAGAGAAGTTTAGCTAGAAGCATTGGTGGCTTCTTATAGCTCACTCTGAGTAACTCTGTTGATGTAACTAAACGTGTATCACATATTGTCACAGAGAAATAAAACATACTCAGTAGTTATAAAATTTTTTTTTACAAAACTGACAGAATAATGCAGATCTAATGTCTGTAACCACCAGTGTTGGGGAGTAACGGAATACATATGTACCACCGTTACGTATTTAAAGTACAAAATATGAGTAACTGTATTCCATTACAGTTAGTTTAAAAAGGTGGTATTGAGAATACAGTTACTTTGTTGAAATAAATGGATTACACTGCGGTATTTTCCTGTTTCATTTTGTCGCGGGTCAGGACTGTTTAGGTTTTGTTTGACAGCTACGTTCTGTTGTTCCAGGCGGCAGCGTTACGGTTGCCGTGGTTACAGGGTGACGCTCTCTCACTCTGCCTGTGTGTTTCCTGGGTGAGAGAGCGCCTTTTTGTTGTTGTGCTAAGCTAATAGGCAGAATGATACCGGTGTTGTGCCAAAAAGTGATTGTCTGCCAAAAACTGATTTCCAATGTTTCTGTGTATTTTTTATGTGTAATATCTTTACGTATGTTTGTAAATAGACTTCGGTGAACAGGGTTTACAAAGGGGTTATATAGAGAATTAAAACAATATCTGTTTTTCAAGTATCTTTACAACTCTCTGCTATTGTACTTACAGTATAACCAATCCGGTCCTTTATCCCCACTTAAAATATTTTTACAGAAATATTGTAATATTTGCTGCCATGTCTGCTGTCCTCTTGGCCAACTTACCTCTTACAAAAGACATTTTTAATGTTAATGAGATTTTTTTAACTGGATAAATAAAGGTTATATAAAAGTCACTGCCAAAAACTGATTGCGGCTTCTACCTTGTTACACGAATGTTGTTTGTGGCTCAAGATGACTTTATGTCATCCATGAGGGATGCATTTGACATATGTTTCACATATTATAGCCCAACAAGTTACTTATAGCAGTTTAAATACGAGCAATCAGTTTTTGGCAAATACCGGAAATCAGTTTTTGGCAGACAATCACTTTTTGGCACAACACCGCCTCATGGTCAGTGTAGTCCGTGCTGCAGGGAGAATGGACTACCATACACGTTATGTGTCTGTGAGCGCGAGGAACGAGAAAAAGGAGACTCGAAAAGTACGAGCTCTCATCGAGCAAAAACAGTAGCTGGAAGCATGTAAATATAATAATAACCACTGCAGCCAAGAAGAGTGCCTGACGAGCCCAGTTGTAAGTAAGCTATTAAGACTCGACTGTACACTGTGTTCGTGTTTTCCTCCCAAACAATAAGTTCCGTTGGAGCAGCCTTTCAACGCCTCTCTCTGTCTCTCGCAAGCAAACTTGACCCACACAACAAAGTAAAGCTATTTTTCGGCTACGAGCCGACAGCGAACCCGACGTATTAGCCAGAGGTCCCTTTACTACGGTTCGGAGCCGCAGACCTTCAGTAACAGTAATAAATCACACAGCAATAGTACATTCACGTAGTTGTAAAAAGCATGATAATGTATTAAATAATCCAAAGAATTCAGAATGCATTACTCTCATTGAGTAACGTAACGGAATACGTTACAAAATACATTTTGGGGCATGTATTCTGTAATCGGTAGTGGAATACATTTTAAAAGTAACCTTCCCAACACTGGTAACCATGGCGATGTTTCCTTTAGCGATGGCTAAAGTAAGTGAACGGAGGATGTGGAAACTGAACATGATGTTTGAAGTGTTGCTTCAGACCTATACATAGCATGAATGTCACTTCGCAGCCCATAACATTTACTTTCATTGTTTCAATGCTCTAATATTTTACATAATAGCTATAGAGTTTTTCTGTAGTTTGTATTGTAGCCAAAAAAGTTTCAAAAAATATTTGAATGAGAAAAAATGTGAATCAAAAGTAAGAAGAACTGAAACAATGATGCTGTTCTTTAAGATAAACGCTATTGTTAGCATGCGAATAATCATACAGCCACATGCTGACGCAAGCATTAATGTTACAGGCATTATGTTGAGCTCTTCTTCTTCTTCTTCTTTCTCTTCTTTGAGTGTCTTCTTCAGTTTTCACAGTACAGTTTGGATAACTGAACAAAGTGCTGCTTTGCTATGTTGACCTGTAGTGCACGTCTTAATTTAGTAAACAACATTAAATGATACAACTTACTGGAGATAATTTAACTGTTTTTCTGGAACCAGACCACACCCTAAACACTTCCCTTGCAGCCTTTGGTCATACCACTATAAATAACTACTTGCACCACTTGTGCTGATCTCCTCAGTTTGTCAGCCTCTCTCAAAATGATCACGGGGATCTGCCAGGCCCGGGGTCAGTCACGGGTCACCAATTCTTAATGCAGCCTTCCCAAAACTAGCCTGTTGCGTCTTTATTACTAAATGTTTGTCATTTGCATACAGGTTGGGGTCTGTGGCTAGCACATCCATAATAACAACTACAATAATTTCTTGGAGTGTTTAGGCAGCAGCAGCTAATGCAGCAACAGGCTCACACATAATATACACTAATTGACAAAAGTAAGACAATAAGGGCATTAAAAACATGATAAGTCAGAAGCTGAATTTTCAATTTAGGCAAAACAGCAAAGACATAAAACACTGAGAGCAACAAACCCGAAGGAAGCCGTAGAGGCAGATGGACATCCAGTTGGTGAGCAGTTTCTCCACTATAGACTCAGTGCGTCGGAGTAACAGCTTGGGCTGAGCGTTGCTGCTCTTCTGCATCAGATCCTTGAGCAGAACCTCCATCACCTCCGTCAGGTATGACAAGTTGCTGTGGAGCGCTACAGTGAGCAGAGATGCTACTGCACATCTGAAACAAAAAATTATAAAGGAACAAGTTAGAGATGAATAATTGACAGAGCTTCACATCATGAGTTTGAGCTGTTTCTTTTCCAGCCATCTTGGTTAACCAAGATTATCCTAGATTCATTTAGGTAATCTTGGTTAAAACTGTGCAGGCTCCTTTACGTGTTTTCTGGTCTAATTTGTGTGTAACCAGTGGTTTGCACCATTTGTATTTCCATCAAAAAAAGGCACCTCTTCATTTTACACTTTGACAACGGTAAACTTTTCTCTTTGAGGGAGCTCTTTACATGGCTACATGTTTTGAATAACGTTGTCTTAATCTTGGAAAGAATTAACGCTGCTATCATCCACTTTGGTTGTTTTCTGTAGTCTTGAGTTCTGCATCATCAGTGCGACACCCCCCCAACAAAACAAAATATATCGCCGATTAGGCAGTTACATAAAATACAGAGTGCCAAACTGACTTGTCTTTGATGGTGAAACTCTTCTCTTCTTCGAGAGCATGCACCATGGAGGTGAGGAAGAGCTGGTCCTGGATCAGCCTGGACAAGCCCTGGCAACACTCATCAAGCTGAATCTTCACCGCATCCTGATCATAACATAACATAACATAACATAACGACAGATGGAATGAAACCATGAAAACAACTGCAAACAACAGATGATGTCAAAACTTACCTGACTGATGTCTTTGATACAGGATTCCATCAAAGATTCATTCTGAAAAACAACAACACAGCTCTACTAAACTGACACCAATTGGTAATTTTTCACAGTTCACAGAATAAGCTTGTCACATATCAGCATTTGGTTTCTTTTGAGCTTCGTTCACCTCAGGAAAAAAGATTCTGGAGGCAAAGTGCTTGAAATCCAGGAAAGGAATTGTTCCAACATTTTCCAGTAGATCAGCGTTTTCTGTCTGCAACTCCACAAAACCTGTGGAAGACACTCCAGTGAAGCTGACTTGATAAACCACAGGCTACGTGCACAAAGTACAAAGCATGAATGTCTATGTTATCAGGTGAAAAGTGAACTTGTGAAGCAGGCAAGTTCTTGCAGGTCACAGAAAAGAGGTAGTGAAAATGTCTAAGTCAGTGCAGTGTTGCAATTCACTGATTAATACAAAAATGGCCACATATGACTGCATCCTATAATGTCATTCTGTTTTACCAACAGCCTTATTAGTATTATATAACAAAAACCATAAACAGGAACTCTATGTATGCGACACTAAGCAACCTGAAGATAGTGAAGCTGTAAAATACAGGCCAATATGTGATAAAGTTGAGGCACTTATCACATACGATGAAACGCAGTTCCGATAATTTGGAACTTGCAGAGAACAAGATGCAAATGTGTCCTGGAAGATAACGTTGAAAGATTACAATAGGAAAACTTTAGAGTATAAAACTAAAAATAAATAATGCAAACTTTTTAACAGCTGCTACTTAATTTCTTAGAAGTATTTTAAATGCCAATACTGGCAGGTAAAGCATAAATCCCTATTGCATTATGGACTGCAGGGCAAATGAATACCGAAGCAACCAGGTATACATTTTAAGATTACATGCAAAGGAATTGTAAAAATCAAGAAAACGTTGGTGGTGTATGTGGTATAGTGAGCTCATGGGGTGGTGCTGGATGTCAGAGGGGACACATGATTATGATGGGACTAATGACTCCGTCTCCTTTTATAGTGACAGAGGAGACTGGCAGGAAGGGAGCATGTAGTGGAGGAAACCATGGAGAGAGTTGGTTCCGGGCTACAAGACTGTGCCGGAAATAGAAAGAGTGCTTTTGGTTAAAAATAAAGCTGAAACCATGAGAACTGTACACTGTGTGGGTAGGGTCATTTCACAGCTTGCAAACTACAAACGCATATCCAAAATAAAAACCTGTTTAAAATGTAAATAAAAACAGAATGCAATTATATGCATATTTCAGATGCCCACATTTTATTCAACAGAAAGGATGCAGGTTGTTAGAGAAACATTAGCTAATTTTTCCCTTTTTTCAGAGTTGACATCAGTAATTACTTCCTCCAAACTGTCAGTGTGTCTATTAGATCCCATGTCTAGAAGTCCTAACAATAAATTAACATTTTGATCTTAGATATAATCAATCAATCCAAAAAGAGGAATGGTTTATTTTTTTTAGTCTGAATTCTGAACTCACAGGACAGAAACAACATTAATGAAGATTACAAATGATCTTGTTGTCGAGTCATATCTATGTTTGTCCGGCTAGACCTCAGTGGAGTGTTTAATATTCTTGATCACAATATTTTGTAACAGCGTTTAGACCATGTTGTAGGCATTAAATGTGCTGCGCTGCAGTGGTTTGAATCATATCTAATCTAGGAATTTTCTTCACACACTAAGGTTAATTAAGGAGTTCCACAGGGTTCTGTGTTAGGACCAGCTCTACTAGTCAGTATTATTAGAAGGCATAGCATACATTTTTATTGCTATGCAGATGATAACCAGCTTTATTTGTCTGTGATGTCAGACAGATACCAATTAGTTAAACCACATAAAGAGCTAAAGACATAAACACCTGCAAGACCTCTAATTTCCTGCTTTTAAATTTAGATATACTAAGGACCTTCTTGCTGTTAGACTATGCCATCATGCTGACCATTGACATTTTTAAAACTACAGTAGTACTGAAGTTGTTGTACTCTAACCAGATACTGGTTACCTTCCGTAACACAGTAATCTTAGACTCCGTTTTAACCAGGATATATCTTTCAGTGCAAATATTATATAATGTAAGACCTTCTCAATTTGCACAACATCTCTAACATTAGAAACATCGTGTTTCATGATTGCAGTTCATACATTTATTACTTCTAGGTTGGACTACTGTAATTCATGATTATGTCAGGTAAGGCCTTCCCTGAACATTTCAACAAGACAATGCTAAACTGCATACTGGGTCTATAACAACAGCACGTCTTCAGGGTATAAAAATTCACTTTAGTTGATGAATTGGCCCGCCTGCAGTCCAGACCTTTTACAATCATTCATCTATTGATACAGAACCTCAAACTGACATATTTAAATTAATTATATTTCATCTGTCCACGGCGGTTATTTCTAAAACTGCCCCAAGTAGTTTGAATGTGGTTTTGCAAATGTAACTTTTCTGGTAACTTTGTTTTTGTGATGACTCTTCACATAGACCTCACTTCCTTTTAATGTTGCACAACTGTGGAAAATTTATTTCCTCTGTCAGATAAACCTTTCTGAAGCGGATAGTGCAAAATATTTCTTATGTGCTTGTGAGGCACATCCACAGAGGGGCACACAGACCTCTACTAGCTAGGTAATAACAATGGATTGCATTTATATAGCGCTTTTCAAGGCACCCAAAGTGCTTTACAATGCCACTATTCATTCTATCTCACATTCACTCACTACAAGCTACAAGCAAGCTACAGTTGTAGCCACAGCTGCCCTGGGGCAGACTGACAGAAGCGAGGCTGCCATATCACGCCATCGGCCCCTCTAGCCAACACCAGTAGGCGTTAGGTGAAGTGTCTTGCCCAAGGACACAACGACCAGGACAGAGAGCCTGGGGATCGAACCGGCGACCTTCCGGTTACAGATACGCTTCCCAACCCCCTGAGCCACAGTCGCCCCAAGGTAACGGCACCCTGACTAACATTTGGTACTAGGAAGAAATCATTGGACTCATTGTCAACCTGTGCTGGGGCAGTGGGTCCTAGGTTCCTCATGGTACATGACAATGTCTGGCCTCATGAGCAGGCAGCTCACAGAGGATGAAGGAATTGATACCCTATACACGCCTGCCCGAAATCCAACAGAACACATCTGGGACATTATGTTTCAGTCGATCAAACAATGAGGAATACGAATACTTGCATACATTCATAATACTGTACATCATCCAGTCCATATCATTATAGATATCCAGCATGATTTTTTTTCCTTGCACTGACATGCATTTTAAAAGCTTTTCTTTAATTTTCGAGCAGTATAAATTGTACATCAAAGTGATGCTGTGAGATTTTGTGACTGACCTTGTCTGATGTCATTCCTGATGTTGAGCTCAAGGTCTTCCACAAACTTGTTCATCTTATCAGCGAGCCTCTGCTGTTGTCTTTGGTAGAATAACGCCACTGCAACAAGATTATAGCGCAATGCAAAAGAATGGTGTGGTTGTTAAAGAGTTGACCTGCACATCCTTTTATAGGCTGGTTAGGGACTAAAATTCACTTCTAAATTGTGTTCTTACCAGTAATAATGGCTGGTATCAGCAGCAGGACAAGGATCAGCATCGGAAAATAAGAAACTCCAGATTTATCTTTATTTTCCAGTGTGACAGATTTGTCTCCGTATTTTATCTATGAAAAAACCCAAAACAAACAAACAAAAAAACAAAAACAAATCACATACAGCATACTATACTGGGAAAAAGGCCTTGCATGTTTACATACTGGATTTTTCTTTGTTTTTTGCCACACATTGCATTAGTTATAGTTTGCAAGTTCCATATTGGGTTCCAGTTTGTTGTCAGAACTATATGCAATAAAAAAAAAATCATATAAACAAGGTGCTGGAAACATTCCCCACAGAGTCAATATTGAGCTGATATTATCACCCAGTTGCTGCAAATTCCACCATAATAGTCTGTGCAAACTGTTGCCCCAGTTTCCTGTTCTTAGCTGATAGGAGTGGGGTGCTCTGCTGCTGTACCCCAACTGCTTCAAGGTTCAACATATTGCGCATTCAGAGATGCTCGTCATCATACTTCATTGTAATGAGTGTTTTATTGAGCTACTGTTGTCTTCCTAACAACACTCTGGCCATTCTCCTCTGATCTCTAACATCAACATGGCATTTTCCACCAAGCAACCTTCAGCTCACTGCATATTTTCTCTTTGCCAGTCCATTTTCTCTAAACCCTAAAAGTGATGTTGGAAAATCCTAGTAGATCAGCAGTTTATGAAATACTCAGACCAGCCTGTCTAGCCTGAACAACCATGTCACATTCAGAGTTACACTGAGCTTGAATTTCAGCTGTTCAGCTTTACCATGATATTATTGGTAGGAGGGTTGCATTTATGAGCAGGTTAACAAGTATACCTAATGAATTCTATGTGAAAACATTCTCAGTACAATTTTAATTCCTATTTTACTGTACTAAAATACTGAAATGTTTCTACTGCCAGAATGAAACTGACATTACATCTCCACACAACTATTTGGTTTGGTTAACATGAAAGAAATATTTACCAATAATTGTTGAAATTCAGGGTTGGTTGAGCTTTTAATCTCACAGGTGAAAGAGTCAATGTTGTCACTGGTTTCTTTGGCTTCCATGGTGCAATTTTTTGGCTTGTCTTCAACGCCCCACACTGATAACTCATCTATTGTCATCTCCAGCTTGTCTGTTTTTTTCTAAATGAAGAAAAACAAAGGCTACATTTCAATGAACTGATGCCACACATACATATGTATGATTAAAAAAAAAGTATATTTAAAAATACCTGAATGGTGATGTGCACATCTTTCCCTGTCCTTGTGGCTGTGAAGCTGGTAAACTCAGGGTCTGGATAGTACGAGAGTTTTCTGGAGCAGGTCAAGGTTTCATTGGCTACTTTCAAATACACAGTACTGCTAGAAATGCTCAGAGCTGCAGGTGAATCATAGGTGAGATTCTGCAATGAAATTAAATGTACACAAAAGACAACACGACGTGACCAAAACAGCACGCAACATCACATATTCAGACACACTGTAATTTATAATTTTTGATATAACATGGCTGGTTAACTTAAACAGTAATAGAAGGTGTAATGTACCTGAGAGCTGATGTATCTGGGAAGTCTGACCTCCTGCATTGTGGGGCTGTGCATTGTGGGGCTGTGCATGACCCCTTCAACAAAGTTAAGATGGGACCCAGTGAGTGTGATCTTCCTCTTCCCACTGCAGGACACAGAGCACCAGAGAACATTTAAAATGTCTGTGTTTGATACAGTTAAAGAACTGTATCAATCTTAAAAAAAATCTCTCAGTTTTAGTTGACTTATGTTGGCATAAAGCTGAATACATACCATTAAGAAACCAATGCCTAGGTAAAGATTGGTGCTTTAAACAAACTCTTAAATAAAATGGGGTTCCTTTTTAAGGTGAAAAAAGAAACTGAGATGACAGAATTTCCTTTTTCAGTTGCAACTAAAAGTGGAAGTAGCCTTATAGCAAAAGACATTTTTTGGGAAGTGGCTCTCTTTCCCCATCAGATGACCCAGAACGGTTTCTCTGCTGCTTCCTAGAATAAATCTCAAAAATACGATTTAAGTTACTGTCAAAGCAGCAGGTCTTGACTCAAAAATAGTTCTGCTGAAATTTTGTCACGATTCATTACTGTTGCTTTAGCTAATTTATTGATGACAACACATTACATGTGTCACTTTAACTGTGTTGTAGCATCAGTGGAGTACTCAGTACCTCTGTACCTCTGTGCTGCATCGAAAAACGCTTGTAAAGGAGAAGGCTAAAATGCTAAACAGATAGAAAGCTTTCTTCATCACTGTGTCATGTTTATTTAATGGTACCTTTGGTTCATTGGTGGATTTGGAGACAGTGTGACATCAGCCAAAGTCTTAGTATTTAAAAATAAAGCCTATGTTCAATAAGGAAGATCTGTAATTACTCATGTGCCTGCTTTCCTGGCAGCTCTGCTGTGAGTCGATTTCTTTACATTGCCTTCACTTTCACATTCTGTTATTTTCTTGCCTACCTGCTCCGAGCCATTCAGCCTCCCCCTCTCTATCATTTCAGCCTTATAGGTTCTTATTTGTGGATCCTGCCACCTCCTCATCTCCACGTCATTGTGTACAATCAGAGCCCCATCTAAACCACCAATTTCATCTTCACCACCACTAACACCTGGACTCCAGAGAGTCCTGTCCTAACTCGTAACTGGGATTCTCTTCTACCATGATGGGTATTAGAGTTCCAATTATATCTCAATATATCATGTTCAGTTTCACATCTCTGCTTATTGAACATTATAAGTTGTTTTAAAGTGTATATCTAAAAGAGATCCGTCATAACTTTAATGTGTTATTTGGAGGTTTCAGTAGAAAAAATGCACCTGATCCAGCTGCTGCTTGGAGTAATATTGGTGCATGATGGTAATGAGCTGTAGGTGATTTTAGCTTTGCCATGGCAATGACCATCTGGGAGGAGAAGACATACGTTGACCACGCCTTTGATATTTGAACTGGGAATGTGGAACGTCAGACTGAAACCAGTGTTGCCCCAAACAGAAGATCTGACCAGAACACACACAGACACAGAAAAAAAATCACTGACATTATCATGATACTCATAAACTGAAAACAGACAAAAGCTGAGTATCAAAATTTTCAACAACATAACTAAATGCCAGTCTAAACTACCAAAGTACGTGTTTTGTAGTTTTTTCAAAGTTACTTTTATTGTGATAAAAGAAAAAACCCTCAAAAGCCCGAAGAAGAAGATCATTAATTAAAACAGAAGAAACCCCAAAACAAAACAGTGAAAATAATTTACGTTAAATTCCTTAAATCCTAAAATAGGACAGTGAGCTTTAGTTTCAGGGTTTACTCTCAGTTGGTCTGTCTGAGAACAATGCTGAGAAAACATTTGTGCTGTTTTTACTTCAAACATTTATTCTATATTTCAGTATGAGTGGTGTTTCCCTGGAATAATCTCTAGATTTTACTGTGTGCTTTGTATCCAAAGCACAAACTATCAGTTGTGCATTAGTTGTGTGTAAAGTAGTGATGGGATTTCCAGCTCTTTTTAGAGAACCGGCTCTTTTGGCTC